TACTACAGCATGTGTGCTCCAAATTCGTACTGTTGTCATCACAACGAGCATCATTTTCAATCTCGGTATTATTTCGTTTAGGTGAAGAGATAATATATTCGCTAATGTCATTTATGGCAATATCTGCAAAATATAATTTTTTAAATTAATCAAATACAAATTTAATTAATTAAGATAAATTAAGAAAGTAAGCATACTTTCTTCGTTTTCAGATGTTTGTAAATATTTATACACTTCCTAGAAATCTTTTTCCAAATAAACCATATTTCCTGGAACTAGAAGTTAACATTAAATTATGTAAAAAATAACACTGAAAACATCTTATCTCATTTCACAATATTATTTATAATGTATTATACCATTGTTATTTTCTGTATCCGAATCAAACTCAGGAGGAGTTCCAAGTAGCTTTTCAAGATTATCAGTATTTGATATATCACAGTAGTCAATCACATTTTGAAAATTTACATTCATCTCATTCAATTCATTGTAATCAGAATTTATCTCACGAATTAATTCGGTGTTACCGCTTGAATTATTAATTTCTTTTTCATTAAATTTTTTATATATAATATTGCGGCATCTGATCTTCTTACTGTATTCTAAAATACGTCGTTTCTGTTGTCTCTTTGACAATTCAGAAAATATTTTGCGTCTATTATGCATACCTTACCGTACAATTACAATAAAAAAATAAAATGTTTTTAAAACTATAGGCTACACAATCAACAATATGTACATATTATAAACATTCAACATATCTAGCAAGAAATTTGATATTAAGAAAAATACGAAATTAGTTAAAATAAGACACAAAACCTTCTACCAAACACTACAATAAACTTATGTGTGTTCACCACGCATGTAAGACTTCGCGATGCTCACTTTATGATGCTGAGATGCTCTGATGTTTTGTAAATGCATTTGAGATTCAAATTTTGAATCAATTGAATACGCATTCCAATTACCAATCCTTGTTCTGTCCCTAGGGTATCTTCGGCAGCGTCACCTAACGAACATCAAATATCGCTACTAGGGAGCAGAGATGTCGTTATAATACGTATCTGACGTTATCTTAACGATATCATATTCCAGACAACTATTCGGTACCCCTCAAAAGATTATTGTAAAGACTACCTCTAAAATACAGTTATCTGAATGATATCTTTCTGGTAACTTTTTTCAGATATCTGTAGCAATGACTTTTTTCAGATGTCTTACGGATATCTGCAGATGACTCTGGTTAAGTGGGTTAATACGTGAATTTTAGCATTTTCATAATGAGAGTCTCATTTCTCATTTCCTCTCTGGTGCTAATACTAGAGTCGGCGGCTGTGGTATTATGAAACCGTGACAGTGAGGTTAGACGTTTGTGTTTCATGTGAAAGTTGCATTAAATAATACTTATTTAAACAGAAAGTTAATTAATAACAGCTTATGTTACCATTAATTCACATACATAAATTAATGTTTGAAATTTCTTTATCATAAATTTTGTCAACAGTATAGTTCTATGGTATAATATAATAAAAGAACAAAATGAGACAACAAGTAATTGACACAAAGATGAATTCTCATACGGCCGGAGAAGCTGATGAATGTCTTTTCGAATATTTACACACAGAAATGGTTAATTATACTCTGAGTAAGGCGTCTAACAAAAAGGTAATTATCCACAAAAGGTTATAAATTTTATGTTTACATAATTTTTTCGGTTTATGTACAGCAGTACTAATGCTATTTCTTTAACTTAAAAGTACCTTCTTTTTATTTTGATCACAAGTAAAAAATATTCATGTAACATAATTCAAAGATCATATAAGTTTCATAGTACATAATATAGAGGAGTTTATAATGAAAAGAATCTTCACAAAATTTGAAAATTAAATTAACAATGTTTCTGAATAGTTTAATGTAATACATAGGGCCATTCCTGGCAGGGGTGCAGTAGGTTCCAGATTGTTTATTATATGTAAAATTTGGACTAGTAAGAATAATAATGAAATGTTTTCCAATGCTTATAATCATTTTAGAACAACAGAATTTAATCAGATTAAATGCGTATGTAATCTTTGTAACAGTACTTGTATACTAAAAGGAACTATCTTTATGGACAGCCTAAAATAGCATATAACATTTAGCCATATTTAGTGGGTTAAATTCCTGTAGGTAATTAATAGTCGTTATTTATCAACCATAACATCATTATTGCAAACATTATGTGCTAGTTTTGTACTTATATGTGAAAAATATTAATTTTAAATAAAACCATTCATTTTTGAAGGATCTATTTAAAATGAATATTTTATTATTATTATTATTATATATATATAAAAGTAAATACTGCATATCAAATTTTTAATTGAATAATATTAAATTAATAAGGGCAGTGATACTGGTTTTGCACCCAGAAACGGCCCTTGTAATACATATAGCATAAATGTTTGGAAACAATACATATTACTGACATATTATTCAAATAGAAGTCATTATCAAATTCCTATAATTTGTGTTATAACTATAAATTTAAAATAAATTGTACATTCAATACATTTCATCATAAATTACCTTCCTTTATTTCTTACAAACGTAAAACTAAGCAATATATAGAAACTTGTGTTTATATTTTATGTCCATTAGAAAGCAAAAAGAATAAAACAAAAGATTTATCATACTTTTGTGTTTTTTAATGAATTTGATCTTCTCTTCTTACTTTGTAGATTATTTCTTTTTTTGTTTTATAAATGATACTTTTATTATAAACCTCTTCATTCTTGATCTTTGTTAACGAGTGAAAATATGGTAATTACAAATAATAGTTTTTTCTTTACTGTGATTTTGATAAATCTACTAAGTTTTTCTTATTTATTATATGAAAAATATAAAGGAAAAGGAGGAAGAGCTCAGTCGACTAGAATGGATGGGATTCAGTGTTGGGTACAGAATCATTGAGCGATTAACACGGGACTGCAGTCGATTCAAAGATGAGTTGGATATGATAAAATTCATTTGTACAGATTTTTGGTCCAGTCTCTATCATAAACAGATTGATAATTTACGAACAAATCACCATGGTGTATATATGTTGCAAGATAATTCATTTCGATTATTAAATAAAGTAGGTACCAATTGCAATAAACAGTATCTTCAAGAAAGTCCACGCTTATTAGCATTTACTTGTGGACTTTTAAGGGGGAGCTTAGCAAATCTTGGAATAATTAGTACTGTTAATGCTGAAATTTCTACATTACCAAGCTGTAAATTTCATGTGCAAGTGCAGCAAATGTAATAATTATTGTAATATTATTTTCCTTAATATAAATAGGTTCAAATTTAGACTTTATCATTTTTATAGATCAGGCCTGTCCAACTTGTGGCCCGCGGGCCAAAATCGATAATCGCCCCTACCGGCTTGCTCTTTCAGCCGAGGGGATGACCCTCCTCCATTCCATAAGAAGTCCGACAATACAGAGGCAAGAAAGCGTGTGTACACGCTCTGACTGTCCCCACTTCTGACGCTCCAGAAATTCCTACCCGCACGTACCTCTTGCCCCACGATCGCATCGCAGCGCAAGCGAGTAGTGGGGTATGGACTGAGTGATGGTGGGGACCGCGTCGTCTGGCGAAATGACCCGCGGACCACATGTTGGACAGGCCTGTATAGATTATTGTGAAGACAGAAAATAAACAGAAATTTATTTTCTGTATTAAATATTTTATTAAGTTAAAGATAAAATAGAATGTTAAATATTTAATGTATATGCAGTACTTAATACTGCGTGTGTGGAATGTTATTAAACTGAGACTATATGCACATCATTGAATATATGTATATATATATATACACACACACACACGAAAACCGCGTTTAGACTGGTTTAGACGGTTTAGACCAGGCATGTCAAACACGCGGCCCGCCAATACATAGGTTGCGGCCCGCCGAGACTTTTTAAACATTTTTAAATATCAAGCTTTGACGCTTGAAGTTGGAAAGTTTGAACTTTTTGGTTGACGCTGGCGCGAGGCGTCAAATGAAAAGCGGCGGCCGAAACCGAACGGAGATAAAAACACAAGACGATCAGAAACATGATAGAACGCGGAGCGATCTAATGCGACACACGACACATGTTTGTCCAAGTCGTCACAAAGTGCAGTGTTTGCTCAATCGTTTGCGAATGATATTTTGAACTCTAAAGTGGATTTTGGTTTTTATTCATATTAAACTAAAAAGTTATTTAATAAAAATATAATCGAACTTCAAGAACAATGAGTAAGAAAAGATCAATTGAAGAGGAACATCGTAATTTTCAAGAAAAATGGGAACTGCAATATTTTTGTGTCCAAAACAAGAATAAAATATTATGCCTGATATGTAAAAACTCTATTTCAGTTGCTAAGGAATATAATCTTAAAAGGCACTATGACACAAATCATAAAACAAACTATGACCAATACGTTGCAAAACTTCGTGAAGACAAATTGTCGGAATTGAAATCAATTCTTCAAAATCAACAAAGTGTTTTCACGAAATGTGTTGAAGACAATACAGCTGCTGTAAAAGTTAGTTATATGTTATCACATTTAATCGCAAGCAGATCGAAACCATTTACGAAAGGGGAATTTATTAGTGAATGCTTAATTAAAGCGGCGGAAGTATTATGTCCAGCACAAATAAAGAAATTTAAAAGTGTAAGTTTAAGTCGAAATACTGTAGCTAGCAGAATTGATGAAATAGCCGAAAATTTGAGAAATCAGCATAATACAACAATATCAACATTTCAAGCCTACTCTATTGCAATTGATGAAAGTACAGATGTTCGAAATATCGCTCAGCTGGCCGTTTTTATTCGCGGATGCGATGTTAATTTAAAAATAAGTGAAGAACTTTTGGAAATCATTACTATGCATAATACAACCACTGGAGCTGATATTTTTGATGCACTTATGGAAGTTTTGAAGAAGTATAAGTTACCATTGGAAAAGTTCGTTCGTCTTGTAACTGATGGTGCACCTACCATGACCGGTATTACTAAAGGAGTTGTTGCAAGATTAAAAGAAACATGCAAACAGTATGGTAATAATAATTTTGAACATTTTCATTGTATTATTCACCAGCAAGTACTGTGCTCCAAAGTTTTAAATATCGGACATGTTTTAAAAATAGTCACCAAAATTGTAAATTATATTCGAGCACGTGGACTTAATCATCGTCAATTTGCTTCATTTCTGGAAGATATAGAATGTGAATACACCGATCTACCATATTATACGGAAGTTCGATGGCTTTCGAGTCATAAAGTGTTAAAACGATTCTTCAAATTGCTGGACGAAATCATAATTTTCTTGGAAACAGAAAATTATGAATGTGCTGAATTAAAAGATGGACAATGGATAAAGGACCTGGCTTTCTCAGTTGATATTACAAGTCATCTTAATCAACTTAATCTTAAGCTTCAAGGCAAAAATCATGTTGTTATCCGCTATTTGATAATATTAACGCTTTCAAACAAAAATTATTACTTTGGCGAAAACAAATAGAAAAAGAAAACTTGTCTCACTTTGAAAGCTGTCAATATCTATTGATTAAATCACCTAAATTAAAATTTACAGAATATGCTCACCAAATTAAATTGTTAGAAACGGAATTCGATCGAAGATTTTCTGATTTTAAAAGCTGTGAATTACAATTTCGTCTTTTTACTTCACCTCTATCTATCGATATTGAAATTGTTGATGAAAACTTACAAATGGAATTAATTGAAATCCAATGTGATTCTTTGCTGAAGCAAAAATGTATGGAAGTTGGAATTTCAGATTTTTATACATATTTATCTGTAGATCGGTTTCCTAAAATGTTATCGTTTGTTACGCGTATAATGGCTATGTTCGAAAGCACTTATTTATGCGAGCAACTATTTTCTTTAATGAAAAATAACAAAAATTCAGAAAGGTCAAGATTAACCGATCAACATTTATCATCAATTTTAAAAATTGCATCAGCTCAATATATTCAACGAAATTTTGATGACTTACTTTGTGAAAAACGATGTCAAATATCTTCTCAAAAGTAATATTAAACTGTGATTTTGTTTATTTCTTATTATAACTTTTATTTTTGTTTTTTATAAAAAATATAAAATATTTATAGTTTAAGTTTAAAAAATAACATGAAATATAAAATGTCTATGTATGTATTGTATATTATATAATATACAATAAAATGTAAAATATTTTTTTAGTTTAAAAAATGACATGAAATATAAAACGACTATGTATGTATAATATACAATACATTGAGCTTGACATTGAGTCTAATAAATACATAATACATAATATAATCATTCTAAAAATCGTATTTTATTAATTTTTTGAACATTGAAAACATGCGGCCCCCAACTCAATACAAAATAGATCATGTGGCCCGTAATATCATATGAGTTTGACATGCCTGGTTTAGACACTAAAAACGTTATATTACAGAGCAAGAATAAAAAGAAATCAGGTGGCGCTTCTACACAACCCGTGCTACTTGCAGCGCTGGATTTGAATATATCTTAACATAGAAACTTGTATTAATATATTTATAGTATTATTTCACTCAGTTGAGTATGTAATAAATGTATACAATTTGCAGTCCTGTTATTAATTAAATCTGCTATAAAACAGATCAGTAAAAATTAAAATAAATGTTTCTTTCTGTACTGAACATCTCATTTTATAGATAATAGAACGTTATACAATAAATCTAACTTGAAATCAGAGATGGGCAAAATTTTCATCTAAATAAAAATTTTGAATAATGAATAAAAGATACAAAAATTTTATTCGTTATTCGAAACTTGAATAAAAAAATATCTTTATTCGACGAGCGTCGATTGAATAAATTTATTCGACGAGAATCTTCTTCAATTCATTCATGACACTTTCATTAATTATTAATATATATTGAAAATTGTAAAAATTTTAATTTTCATTCGTGCGTGATTCCTTATTTCATCTACGTCTGTTTACATTGTATGCCGACTGTCGGTCGCTGGCCTTTGACGTTCGACGCTCTACGCTCAGCAGTGCGTTTTTTCGAGCTGGCTGACTGGTCAAAGTTAATTGAAGATTTATTCAACGCCTTCGGATAAAAGATACAAATAACAGATGAAAATATCGCCGACGCTATGAATAAAACGCCCCGAATAAAGAAAGTATCGTTTATTCGTCGGATAATTCTCTTCGAATAAATTTATTCAATCGACGCTCGTCGAATGAAGATACTTTTATTTATTCAAGCTTCGAATAACGAATAAAGATAAAGTATCTCTTATTCGAACAGTTATTTAAATAATTTTTTATTTAGATAATGCCCGTCTTTGCTTGAAATGTCACTAATGAGATTTTCAAAGTAAATTTTGTTTATAACTTTTATTTTATTATAATAATTTACATAAAAAGTAGTGCACACTGTTTGTTCAATTTTTATGATCTATTATAAGTTTTACCATGTATTTTGTGTTTTATTTATTTTTGAATGATTACATAAGCACTTTGAGTTTTGACGAAATTAAGTGTATATATATACGCTTTTAAAATGATTTTGTCAGTTATCAAAAAGTTGTATAAAGTAAGTATCACAAATTTGAGAAACATAGATTACTATAATAAACTATGATGATCATATAAATGATAATAAACTATATCTTATGATAACACTTTATGAAAAGATCATACAAAATATTAACAAAGCATCAATAAAAACTTTAAGAAAATATCAGATTTTTAAAACTCTTAACTTATTATTTAATCAGTTACTGGAATTCACTGTACCCTTACTTTTTGTAATGAAATTCAATATGTGGGAAAAATTTACAATAGCAATAAAAGTATTATTATGTTCTTCATCTAAAATAACAGCGTATAATTCTTTTTCAAGAAGACGCGATAATTGTCCAAGAGTTACTGAAACTTTAACTTTCGCATAATGTTTCACCATAGACCTTTCCACAGAGTCTATGAGCTTTATTCTGCCAAACACTAAATCTGACATAAGTGTATTACTATTAAGAATACCATTTACGTGTATATTGTCATTACTGATAACTAACTGTTGAACTTTTGTATCTTCAAAAATACGAATAGCGTCTTGACATGTTATATTCTCTTTGAACAAAGGCGTTTTATCAAAAAATAAACGCGAAATTGGTATATCCCACCACCATTTTTTTACTTCATTTTGACATGTAGACTCCTGTAATGCGTTATAATAGTGAGTCATTTAAGGGTACAATAAAAAGTGTCACAAATAATGAACTTAATATAAAATAAGAAGAACATACCAAAAATCCCCTAGCGTCCATCCAATGGTCAGATACAAATTTAGTCATATAGTTTCGTATTCCGTCAGGTAAAACAACAACAACGCGCGTTCCTTCAGAAAAATCTTTGGCTATCTTAAGAGCAGCTGTAAGTGCAGCACCGCTACTACCACCACATAATAAACCTTCCTTACGTATAAGCATTCTAGCTGCATTCAATGATTCACAATCTTCAGTTTTTATCCATTTATCAATTACATTATGGTCTAACACTGTGGGTATAAAATCGTAGCTAAAAAAAATGGTATATATTAATAAAAACATAAAGGAGAATCATTATTGTCAATAAAATAAAAACAGAAAGTAATTTACCCAATTCCTTCTACTTCATAGAAATTAACATCATCTTGTAATTCAGGTGACTGAGCTAAGATACTGCCTTTAGGATCTACAGCAATAATTTTTGTACCTGGAGATAATTCTTTCAATTTTCGCCCAACACCACTGATAGTTCCACCAGTGCCTGCACCGGCTACTAAATAATCTATTTTTTCATCACACTGTTTCCAAATTTCGACTGCAGTTTGGTCATAATGAGCCAATGGATTTCCAGGATTAGTATACTGAACAGAAAATACATAGAAACTAAATTATGAAATTATTTTATATGTGTGATTATAAAATAATAAGTTCTGAAATTATTTCATATTTACACATGTAAAATCTTACTTGATCAAGAACAACGCTATTTGGTATTTCCTTTTGTAATTTATGAGCAACATTAATATGTGCTTCTGGACTGTCGAAACTTGCTTCTGTTGGTGTTCTCACAATTTTAGCACCAAGAGCACGAAGCGTGTAAACCTTTTCATTAGACATTTTTTCTGGCATAACAATAATACATTTGTAACCTTTAACTGCAGCAGTCATTGCTAATCCAATTCCTGTATTACCACTTGTAGGTTCAATAATGGTATAACCTGGTTTCAACAAACCCTTCTCTTCTGCATCTTGAACCATTCTATATGCAATTCTATCCTTCACAGATCCACCAGGATTGAAGAATTCACATTTTACATCTAAATATTGAATTATACATTTACACTTATATGTACATTAATAATGATGACAAAATTAATACTAACACATTTCACATTTAATTCCATAAGATTTAGGAATGTTGTTCAACTTTATTAATGGTGTTTGTCCAATAGCTGTTAATACATCAGGTAATATTTTATTACGATCAGGCATTCTGAAATAAAAATTTCATACATGTATTGAAATTTCTACTGTATCTATGTTATTTAAGAAATTATATATAAAATTTAATGCAAAATTTGGACATAAATAAGGAGAATTTTGTTATTGTTTCACCAATATTTTAAACTGAAATAAAAAAGGGTCTGTTATTTTTTAAATTATTATACATGTTACATTATTTTTTCAGTTTTATAGCACACGTTCTTTTTTAGCATAAGTAATATTGAACATGAAATTTTGTATCATCATATACAATTTTTCTGGTAAAACTTCATGTAACTAGATAAAAGAATTTGATAACAGCCTACTTATGCAATGTTTTTGTAATACTTTCTTAGAAAAACTATATTAGCATATTTCACTATCATGTAAGTAAGAAACTGTTGTAAAATTACAAATGCTCTAATGTCAAAATAGCTTCTATATTAGTATAAAGATACTGAACCAAGTCATAGCTACCTACCTATTCAGTTACTGATGAGATTTTTATTAGATCAGTTATCATTAACTATTTTTATCAGTAATATAATTACATCACTACAATTTACACATAGTTTTCGTTTCATGGTAACAAAAAAATATAACATTATAACAATTTTTTTTACTGGACTACAAACTGCAAAGTATCAAACAATGTTTTTCAGTTGAATACTATTTATTGTAAGCTTTCCTATAGAGATGCCATTAATATTGAGTCGTTCTAACTAAAGATTTAATGAAGTTTAACATTAAATACATTCTTTAATAATAAACAAAATCATACATGACAAAAATTTTTGGATAATTGTTGTACTTTGATGAAATTATTAAAAGTTAAAAGGTAATACAATTTTGAAATGAATATACAATATGACTAATATTTCATACTATATCTTTTTGAATAAATGACTGCCTTTATTCTTTTTGGTACAGACATTAAAAATTTTTGAAATTTTTCAGTAAAAGTGCTCTACCATTTCTGGTATTCTATTTTAAATGATTCATTTACATTTTATAATTCATTGGTTTTTCACTTTTGTTTTAAATGATTTCAAAGATGTTCAGTAGGATTTAAATTAGTGTTTTAGTATGGTCGCTCTATTGTAAAAATACTTTGAGTGTCAGTCAACTTGTTATAATGCAAAAAGGATATGGTCATTATTGTATTGAAAAATGTATTTATAAACAATGTTTGAACTATTTCCATAGTAACATATGTAAATATACAAAATAAAATAAATATTACAATAAAATTTTATAATATTTTTAGGTTCCTTCAACTTTAATAAAGAAAGATTTTCACTTTGATACTCATTTGTGAAACTGCCAGTAAAAATGTTATCTGTAACTTGTTTATTAATATTTGTATAATTATGTATGTATGTTTATTATACAAAAGCTAAGGACATTGTAAATAATATTCAATATGTTTTAACAAATATTAGTTTCCGAATCCAAGCAGTTTAATAATACTACCTTTTTCATCGACTTACTCTGTTTTAATTGTATGTGGAGTATTTGTTGCATTTGGTTTCCACGTGCAACGGCTAGGCCGGTCAGGTCGTATCAATTCCATCGAATCCATTATACCACTTTAAAAAAAAACATACAATTAATGAAAACAAATGATCAAGAAGACCTTTCTTTTTGATAAATAAACCAGACACAATAGAATTCCTTAAAATATTGCATTGTTGTTTATTTAATAGGATTGATACGTATTTAATACTGGTTACATATGCGCAACCTATGATACTCCTTTAAATGATTACTCAAATAAATATTAATTAAATAGTACTATAATTTCAAAGATAACAAATTCTAATTTTATGCAATATTCACCCTAATAATATTACATATTTATTTAATAAGTACCAATAAGTAAGCCACACAAGAAATACCGCTCATAAAATGCAAACAAAGCACGTGACGAAATGAACGAACGGTTGTATGTGCAATTTACATGATTCTTTATGCCAATATCGCATTGAAAATATCGCGTTAGATTTTGAATACCAATCGATTACTATACAATATACAGTATTGTTAATGTAAGAATACGTGACGTTTTTTTTTTGTGAAAAATTTCACTTTTTTGTATAATCGCGATTACATTGTTTAAATAAAGGGTGAAATATTTCTTGGACAAAATAATACTCAAAAGATTTAGATCCGGAATTTTAAAACAATATACGCATGTATTATGAATCGTTTAACGTTTTCACAATCCATATACGTAAAATTTGATTTGAATCTTTTAGAAATTTGTATGCGTATCTATCAGTTAATCGAAAAAACATACAATGGTTCAAAATGGTGGATCATTTTTGATACGCGCATTATTTTCTATTTTGTTTTAAAAGACAGTGTATATTGATTGAAATTTCAATAAGAAAGTAAAGACAAGGAATACATAAATGTATAATAACCATATAATTTTACACGAATCAAAGCAGTGACGTGTATTTCATAACAAATTTATATTTACTTGAAATGGATTGTCATTATCGTTACGATTCCACATTTTGCGAAAGTCACGCGTACGTTGCTTTTTCAAAATGTGATTACCGTGAAAAAAAAATATCGTGTTATTAATGTGTATTGCCAAGGTTTGTTGTTAATATTTTGTACAGCTGCTACACACTATTATTAAAGTGTGACAAGTTCACAGAACCATCAGATAAAATTTATGACAACACTTTACAATTATTATGCACTTTGAAGTGGAATCTTTGCAGAAATATCCAGCCTCAAGCATGTGAGTAATTTTACAATAAATATATCATAAAGTTTTCTTTATTTTGTCTCAGTATTTTGATATTTTGCTAATCATATATTTATATTGCAAGGAATTTGTTGTTTTAATACATTTTTGTTTTTATTGTTCTAATGTCATTTTGTAGGAATAAGTCAGTGGAAGATTTATTAATCTCTAGTCGCGATGTAATTACGAACATAAATTCTGCTGGATTGGAAATTCAAAATTCAGCAACAAGTATGGGAAATGGTGTATCAGATAATATTCAAGAATCATTAATTGGAACTTCTGGAGAACGATGTAGTCCAGTTTCTAGTCCTAATTTATCTCCACGCCCTAGTCCAAAAGCACGTTGCAAACGAGATCATTCTAAAACAAATTCTGATTCAACTACCAAAGAATCTAACAATCTAAACAAATTAGATGAAAATCAATTACATGTAAGATTTTGTCTTCTATCATCTAGTTACCTTAAAAGAAGTTGTGTAAATATATTTTGCATTATCCTGTAACACTTACATATAATTTGTGCTCAATAACAGGATGCGGCAAATAAATCGTCAGACTCTTCCCAGACTGCAAAAGTTTCACATGATGGAAGAAAGGAAACACGTAGTGGAGAGCGAAATAAAAAAAAGTCATCTTGGTACAATGTTTTATATCCAACATATAAATCAAGGTCTGATGATTTCAAACGGATATTTAAAGATGTTCCCGATGATGAAAGATTAGTTGTTGGTAAGTGATTAGTTAATAGTATGTTGTCAATAAGAATGGATATTTTTCTTAGAACAATTTCATTGTAAGATATAGTTTTTGTGGGTATGAGAAAGTATCTGATATTACAAAAATATTTGATTCTATGGGACAAGTAATTTATTACATATTTTTTTTTCAATTTTCAACACTCTTTGAATTCCTATAAACAGGATTGAATCATCTCATTCTTATATTACAATTTAATGTTTTCCAATATTCCTGTTTGAAAAAAGAAACTAATAAATTATAACATTTTATTTCTTTTTTATACAAATTTAAATGTGTATAAATTATAGACTCTTCAAAAGTCATATAAGAATAATGCTGTTAAATTTAGTTCAATATTTTTTGTACCAGTTGAAAGGTTTAGTTTCACTCATGAGTATTATGCAATTTAAAGGTTCAAAAATATGATGCTGCAAAAAAAAAAAGTTTTACCTTATAGTGTGATAGTGATTATCATTTATCAGACATTTTCTCATATGTTCAAGCAAAGTAGAAATATTTTACGTTTTAATGCAAAGTGATGCTTTACATAATAAAATATATGTTTACAATTGACAACAAATAGTATTGGTTATATTAAATGGTAATAAGTTATATTAGCTACATTAAATTTCAAATATATATCACAATGCGTGATTTTTAGATTATTCATGTGCACTACAACGTGAAATATTGGTTCATGGAAGACTTTATGTTTCTCAAAATTATGTATGCTTTTATGCAAATATCTTCAGTTGGGAAACCTTAGTATCATTGCGTTGGAAGGATGTCACATCTATTACTAAAGAAAAAACTGCCATTGTTATTCCTAATGCAATTTCGATAGCAACTGCCACAGACAAATTTTTTTTAACATCTTTTGGAGCACGAGATAAAACATATGTAATGTTATTTCGTGTCTGGCAAAATGCCCTTATTGGCGAGGTATGAAAATTTTATATAATATGTAAACACAACGATAATTTATTTAAACTACTTTTATATAAAATGAATAAACTGTACTGTACTGCATGTGTAATTGCCTACTGGTATCATATGCACATCAATATATGTTATATAAGAGTTTTACAATTGGCACATATTTGCCGTAATTGTTGCATGATAATTTGCAAGTTGTTATTTAATTGTCATGTTTTATTATAAGACTTATACAGGGTGTCCCAGAAAAGTGCAACAAATTAATGTGACAAACGAAAAACAATGCAAACTCTTCATAATAAAAAAACTTCATAACATTATTATTTTCTGATTGGCATCGTTTTTGAAATATAAGTAATTGACATTTTGGGATTCAATTTCCGATGTGCGCTGTGTAAATATTAAATGACAAAGTATGTAACAGTACATAAACAAGAAACACGCATAAATACATGTTTACATACATTACATGTTAATAGTAAGTATTTCAATATATTTCTGAAATTTTTTATGAAATGTATTTTTTCATTGATCTCAATGATGTTCACATGTCAAGTTAATTTCGTTTGTCTTCATTTTATCTAAGGTACATTTAAAATGTAATGATAAAAAAACACTTTCAATCTGTCTCGTGTAAGTCACTTTCGTCAACATACACGAGATTTCCGTAACGTTTTTTTCCGTAAACGTGTTCATGAAAGAATAAGTAGAAATGTAAGCTAAATATTTTTAATTCCTCGAACGAATAGATTTGAAAGATTTCGCTAAATACTCGTACAATTTAGTTTGAATTGTTTCATGTGTCTGTTCTTTACTTATTATATCTACTTATAACCATGTTTATAAACACCGACGATTATCGGTTACAGTCTGAGAGAAGATAGCAAGATTGAAAGAAAACAAACAATACCGTGCCACCTTTTGTGTTTACAAGTAGAAATAGTAAGTAATATATATACGGGTTAGCCAAGTCATATTAAATAGCACATGCACTACTCAACAAATATTTAAATTCAATTCTTTCGAAAAAAGTCTCATCTAAAAATAATTTTTTACATTTTCGGCTTTATTTTGCATGAGTAATTATCTTCTCTAAAATTGTAAGTGATTCATGTTTTTGTATGAAAACGTACATAAAAAAAATAAAATAATACTGATGATAAGAATAGATATTGTTTGATGAAGCTTTTGACTTGTACTAGATTGATTGACAAATAACATTCCATTATAACATACATGTAATTTTAAGATAACTAACACAATCACTGTATTACAAGAAAACTTATAACATATTCAAATTCTACTACATAAAATGATTTTCCTTACCATGAATATGCCATTGGAATGCTTCTGAATTTGGTAAACTGTCACAAATTCATAAGATTTCTAATTGTTATTAGAAATCTAAATTAATTTCTTATGTGATATTTTTAATTTACTTTCAAATTTTAATATATTATAGAAACTATTCCTTTGCAGTAAGAACTATATATCTTGGATTATTGACTTCCTATAATTAGAACTTCTTTTTTGATTGCAATTTAATTATACTTGATCATAAATTTGTATGAAATCTTATTAACAATAGATCACTATATGAATCCTTTCATATTTCTTATACAACTTTTTTTTTAGCTTGTAGTTGCTTGTATTCGACCGTTTTATTATAAAATATTAGCAAAACGAATTTTTGCCTAATTAAGGTTTTTATCACCTTCATTATTACTTTTGCTTTTCATTGAACTTCTTATATTGGTTCTGTGAAAACATTTAAATTATTGGTTCTATGTGACATACCAAAGCAAAATGCAAAAATTTAAGAAGCAGCATAGTTTACTGTAGAAGTAAATGGTAACATTTTCTAATAATATTACTGTTTATGTTAACATATATGTATATGTGTATTTCGTAACCGAGAAGTGCGTGTCGGAAATCGAACCACTCTTAATTGCTTTTATTTTGGAAATGAAGCCTCCGATTTCATAACTGTATGTTTTATTATTATATTATGTACAAGATTAATTAGTATCTAGTGCTTTGTTTGATCTGTACAAATAATAATATATGTTCAAATAGTGATTTTAAATGTAACACATTTAATATTCTAGTCAATGAGTGCAGCTGAAATGTGGCAACTCGTTCATTCCTGTTATGGAGATGAATTGGGTTTAACATCAGATGATGAAGACTATGTTCCACCATTACCTCCAGTTGACGATGAAAAGTTATCAACAAGATTATCTGTCGAATCGTTTTCTGAGGTAGTAGAAAAACTTTAAAAGATAAAACATTTAAAAATGTGTAGAAAGTATATAATACTTTTCTCATGATTGTAAATTGTTACTCATATCCTATCATTTCACAAATTCAATGTTTATTTTTCCATAAAGGTAGAAAATAGTAATGTGGAAAACTCTGCAACTGGACCAGTAGAACATCGGTCTCGACCAGATCCAGTTTTGGATGCCACAGATCTTAGTGATACAACAGAGAGCGATGTTGAAAAGCATGGATGTATGTATCAAAAATTATTGTCTTCAAAACTATTTTATACCATTCTGAGTAGGTCTTCTTTTATTAGAATTTAATGGTCAGGCTACATATTTCTTAGAAGTTACATGTTTACCATGTACCTATATTTCATGTCTATACATATATTATTTCATAAGTTAAGAATTAAATAACCAGTGATTTAAATAAAAGAATTCATGATAATCTTTCTCATCCCCCTTTCATTTCAGTAATAATTACTTTCCAAATTATAATTTAATGTATTAAATATATGTCTGTATACTATATTTAATGGGATGATGTGGGGAGGGGGTTAGGGAATTATCATGTAATAGAACATATACGATTACTCCTGAAAACATTCTTGCTTCTTTTGATAAGTGGAGATTGTGATCTAGATAAGTGTCTTTACAATGAAATAAGACTTCCGTTTTAGAAATCAATAAGCATAAATAAATTCTATAACATTAGTCTTTAGTCTCCTTGATTTCACTAGAAGTTAAGTATTTTTTAATTATTGTGGCAATCGAGTTGTGAATATTCTAAACTACAAACTTGTAAAACCAGGGCTTGTATTTAACAAGGTTTCTTTAACTTTGTAAATTATTTCAGAATGTATAATCTAGTAGTTCAGTATTTAAAAAGTTTATTTAAATAATAGTACTAATCTGAATGAATATTTACAATACTGAATTCTGCTGTGCAATACAATGTAGATATGTCATGTGTAATCATAATCCCTTCATTATCTATAAGAAGTAAATATTTTTGGAGCAGTTTATTCTTATCACTTTCCATATTTTAATCAGTTAATTAAAATTACATCCGTATTTATTAAATTACATTCAATTAACACATATGAAATATCGAATATTAGAAATTTATTTCTTCTTATGCATTGTGACCTAAACTTTTTAATTATGATTTCAGTGAAATCAAGCATTCGAAACAGTGTAGTGTGTACTTCTACTCATGATGGGCGACAGATTGGCAAGGCCACATTTCCGATTCATATTGATCACTTATTTACTTTGTTATTTACAAATTCCAAGTTTTTCTTAGATTTCCAAACCGCTCGCAAAACTACAGGTAAGATACAATATTTTAAACGCATTTTTTATTTATATGTGAATAAATATTGAAATACTATATCTAATAAGTTTATTATGCATATGAAAATCTTTCCATTGATTTAGATTTAGTACAGGCAGCATGGACACAAAATGAACAGACAGGTCAAAAAGTTAGAACCTTATCTTTTACAATGGCTCTGTCCCAAGCTATTGGACCAAGAACCTCTCACATTACAGAAACACAGGTGATTATTAAACTAGTAAATTCTAGTTAATTTTTATATATAATTAAAATTATAATTTTTATACTATATTTCATGATAAAATCCAATAACCACTAAAATGATTAATGTATATATTATTTTAGAAATATTAATATGTTTTTAGATAATGCTACCATGTAGCAGACCAGGCCATTTATATGGTATTGATGTGGAAACTGTAAACGGTGGAATTCCATATGCAGACTCATTTAGTGTATTTGTTCATTATTGTTTGACTAGTCTTTCTGAAAATGAAACAAATTTTACAGTTTACGCTCAAATAAAGTACAAAAAGAATGTATGGGGCCTTGTAAAAGGTAAGCACTTGCAATATATAAGACTCTACGTTTGTAATGGACGGTGAATGGTTTTTTATAACAATTACAGGAGTTATTGAAAAAAATTGTTGGGCTGGATTAGAAGAATATTTTACAAGTTTAATAAAAGCACTCACAACTGAATGCGAAGAATGTATTACCGGTGGAGGACTAAAAAGAAAAGCAAGAAGAAGACGTCGTGTTACAGGAACTGGTATCACTTTGCAAACTCATTCTGCAGACCATACGTCCTCTAATTTACAGAGTTCTCTAAACTTGCCACATATTAATGATAATAGTGGTATGTAAGCAATAAAGCAATATTATATTGTAATATTTTAACACTTCATAAGTCATAAATTACTTAAAAATAATATATTTTTTAATATATAGTTTCTGGGGTTCGAGGCGATTCCAATATAATAATTAGTTCAATGCTTTTGATTGCTGTGTTATGCTTGATGGTAATTAATGGCCTACTATATTACAAACTGTGGAGTTTGGAAGAAGCTGCTGCATATACAATCATGGATTTACATGTGTTAAAGTAGGTACTTAATACTTACCAAAAGATGTGTCTGTAGATTACTGACTTTTTTTAAAATTTTTTTTAGAAATACTCCGAAGACTGAAGAAGATTGGATTCATTTATTACAACAGCAAGAAAGTTTACATAATGTAGAAATGAGGAAATGGCAAAGAGTACTACATACCGCTGCACAATTACTTAGACAAGTAAGTCACGTAGTTTTATAAAATTATACTAATACCACGTTGTCAAGCAAACTAAAATTATCTGTTAAATGTTAAAGATAGAGGAATCACTAACGGAATTACAAATGAGTATTCACCCTACTGCAACGGAAAAAATGTTTTCAGTCCTAAAACCAAGTATAAAAAGTTTTAACTCACATACAGAACAGCGAAGTCATTCAGAAATGTAAAAATGCATAAAATATTTCAATGAAGTAAGTACTGTAATATTATATCTAATTAAAAGTTTGTTATAGTAATTTTTAAGTTTTCCTAACGATAAGAGTATTATTGTTATATTTGTGTATAATTTATAATTAGGCACAGAAATGCGCTGTGATGCTGATTTAAATTCCACAATGCGCAACAATACGCATGCAAATTATTTGACATAGAAAATGTAATTAAAAATTTGTTTCTATTGTCTTACATATATTACATGTAGTATTATATTTTCTTTCGTATAAAATATTAAATTTATCAGGTCTCCTTTAATACTGATCTTGTATTTATAATACATACATGTACAAATACGTGCATGTATACCTGTGTATGTGTATAGATAATGTATATTAGTATATTGTAAAGGAGAAAAATAAATACTTTTTAAAACAACACATCATGTTGCCATATCCTATGCAATTCTTTTTATGAATAGTTAGTAGTTTGTCTTTTAATTGAAAATCGTGAATCCATCCAGATTAAATTTTCGATCTAAAAAACTCAAGTTAATATATAAGTATACGAAATAACAATTAACATGTTTATATTTATAAAATCTTTTTATTTAAGTGAAGATACAAGCTTTCAGTTCATTTGTCTTCGGGCTTGTTAAATACAAGCGTGTAACAGCATTTGCCGCAATAATGACGATCTTCCATTGCTGCCATAAAAACACCTGCGCCACACTGTTCCATGGGACATTCTCGCCTTAGTCGATGAATTTTTCCATTTTCATCCACCTAAATAATAAAACATTTTTCAAATTTATGCCAGATAAAGTAGCATAATTTTACATACAATTTATCTTTTATTACTGTAAGCAATCTCTGGACTCTTCAACTTCAAAAAGTGTAATACCGACATCGAAATTAGATGCCCATGACAAAGAAATATACTTCTCTCGAGTAAGAATTCTTCTGTGTGACATTGTAAAAAAAGGTGAAGTATCGTATAAAATGTAACGTAAATATTCACTTCTCGTATCTTAGAAATCGGAACGGGTCTATTGATTATCATTTGTATAGTTGCCAGAATCGATTGCATTTTGGGTTGCAAAACATACTATGATTTTTATATACAGGGTACCCCAAAACATGGGACGATCCGCAACATGGATATTCCTTATGCAAATACAAATCGAAAAGTCCTTCACCGTTTTGTAATTTGAAGCTCCGTTTCCGAGATATTAGCAGTTAATGGAACTCACACGTACGCCAACACACAGTCAAGAAGCGCATGATCCAAGTGACTGGCCCTGCTTCTGGACTGTGTCGGCGCGTATATACATACAATTTTTTTCCGCCATCCGATTCGTCTCTTGAAACCATTTAAATTATGTAAAAAATATTTCTGTATGATCACAGATAGAGAAGATTAAGTGGTTTGTTTTAAACGGAACATCCTGTATATAGAGAGCTCTCGGTATGACACCATTAAATTATTAAATAATATGCTTCTCAATTTGTTGATCAGGTGATGTCATTTTAAAAAATGAGCTAAAGTTTATAACGTCAATACATGTAATGACCAAAAAAAAATTGCAGAAGAATTCTGAGAGCAATACAACAATTGGAAGAAACAGAAATCACTACACGTATTGTTTGTTAGTTATTGTGAAAGTATAATTAAAACTTGAAATTTATTACCGCCACAACATTCTGTATCGCTCTCAAGTAACTTACGTCTCATTTATCCTATTGTGACAATGCGAAGATTAGTCATTCTTAATGATTCATTTTATAATACCCAAAAACTTTGTAGACGTTATAAATTTTGAGTTCTGATACAGATTATTGTATTAAAGTGCACCTACACTCTTGTTTTTATATTTAAAAGTTAAATAAAATCTGCAGTTTCTTGATTCACAACAAAAACATATTACTATCTTTTGTTACCAGTATAAAATTTGCGAACTTTAAAATAAATATTAAAGTTGATTTCACCGAGACAACAAAGTAAAGTACAATTAAATTTATTGCAACAATGTTTCTCTATAAAAACACGGTAATGGTAACATATTTCTAAATTTAAGTTATTTATCAAATTTAGTACTGACTTTTACCTTATTTTTCTTTTAAAAATTCTTTACTATTGCATATTGCACGTTTAAATACTATTTTTGTTTAGGTAGGTTAATATATGTCATTTATATACCTTGTAAAATTTGAGTACAGCAAGCTTGACCTTCTTCTTCTTGTGCTTGATCTTTTTAGGAGTCGAGTAGTTCTTCTTCTTGCGTTTCTTAGCTCCACCTCGTAGACGTAAGACCAAATGCAAAGTAGATTCTTTCTGAATATTATAATCTGAAAGGGTTCGACCATCTTCTAGCTGTTTTCCAGCAAAAATTAATCTTTGCTGATCTGGTGGAATGCCTGCAATGATTGTTTCATTAGTAAATATTTATTGTAAAATGTATTTATATCATTACCTTCTTTATCTTGAATTTTGGCTTTAACATTTTCAATGGTATCTGATGCCTCAACCTCTAGGGTGATGGTTTTCCCAGTGAGTGTTTTTACGAAAATCTGCATGTTGAAATCAGTGACAGATGTAACTCTAAAAAAAAATTTATGCAAATTAACGATGTCATAAAAGAAACACTTATTAATCTGTATAGTTCAGTATGTTATTTGTGTAGGATTAAATATCATTTTCCAGGATATTTAAGAAAGTAATTAAGCAAGATGTTATTTTCGAAATAGTTTTTATTATGAACATTTATCATCAATATAAATCGTATAATAATAATCATAATATAATAATGTCAACTTATACAAGCAATACAGCATTGATACAACCATCATTTTCAGGATTATTTGTAACTTGTGCATATTTTCCCCAAACTATTTTTCCAGACTGTGTTACCAAACCTAGTTCAGAAATATTTACTTCAATAATTGTTCCTTTTGTCACAACACCTAAGCTTGTGTACATTGACGAAGATGGATTTTTCTTTACTCCAATAATTGGTACACAAAATGTAGCTTTTAATTCAGGATGAGTTACATGTGCTTTTTTAAAACGTAATGCCATTGGTCTAATGAATCTTTCAAATTTTGGTGGTTTTCTTGTAAAATTCTCACCAACAAAAGTAACTTTTGTCACCATTCTTTTCCATGATTTACGTTTAGTTTTACCACTTCTCATTATTTTGAAAACTTCGGACTCTGACTGTGTTTTAACTTTAGGTATTGGGACATCCCATTTGCCAACCTTTTCTTTACGCTTTTGTTTTATCATATTCGATAGTACTTTTGCATCTTTTTTAATGTCACGATCTAACAAATATACTGGCAATGCGCCATTTGATACATTACTCGAATCTTGCTTCACCTTTTTTTCCATGTGTGATTTAATTTTCTTTTTCATTTGAATCTTCTCATTTCGTCGTTCTTTATTAAATATTTTTGCTTTTATACCACGCAAACTACGAGCACGTTCTGCCCGTTTGTGAGGTTCACGAGCTTCTCTTTTCCTCTTCCTTTCCTCATAATCTAACCGCCGCCCATATAATTTACGGTGCCTTTCAATATACTCGTTTTGCGGCATTGTAAATAGTGTTTTTTCTTTGCAAAAAGAATTACTTCTTTAATACCAAATTTCTGAAAATAAAAAAGTTTCATCTAAAGAAGATAATCAGTAGGTGCTGTATTTTTTGAAAACTTACCTGTTAGTTATATTACAATTATATGAAATATTTAATAGTTTCAACTGATATTCTTACACAATTACTTGGATAATAATTTATTACGTTAGATGTAAAACATTTGTTTAACTTACTATTTTGATACAAATAAGTATTGTCTCCAAAGAAAAAAAAACATTCTGATAATCTCGTAATCAAAAATGTTTTATTGCATTTAATTTAACTTGTTATATACATTATAAGAAATTGAATTATTATTAATTATATTTAATATAATTATTAACTTATGTAGATTTACGCAAAAGATATCTATATCATAAATATTGAAAAAGTAAACTAAAAAATTTTACTTTGTAAGAAATGTTTGAATTAAAATCTATGTATATTAAAATCCATTTTATACACGTAATACTACATATATTAAGCAATATTAGGAAATCATAGGTATATTGGTTATAATAGAATTAATCATTGTATTAAATATTGTTTAAAAACTAATATTACTCTGTCTTATTTGTGAGTATTTTATTTCAACTTATAGTTTCTTTAAGACCATGGCAGTTTTATTTCACTTGTACCTTTAGGCATAGAACAACGTTTACTTGTACACTTGCAAGCAAATTCGGCTTCCACTAAAGGAAAAAGTGACGTAGGGAAAAGGCTTCCTATCACTTGGTATCAGGAATTATTGAAATTTTTGCGAAATTATCATTCAATTTAACTTTTATATATTTCAGTACTTGAAATAAATTTACTAATTGGTAGGAGACCCTTTCCCTATGTTACTTTTTCCCTTAATGGAAGCATAGTTTGCTCGTGGGTGTACCGAAGAAATTATTTTGTACCTACAGTTTTATTCATTTTGTAGAAAGTTAATTTATACACTGATTATTATGCGAAATAAAAAAATTTAGGAACATTAGATATACCTACCTATATATCTTCCAATTTATATATTTCGTATTGAAACAAATACACTTTAGTTTTATAATGATTTACACCCAGTAATTATATACTGATCAACTTTGATATTCACGTATCTCACAGAATTCGACTTACACGATCACTTTCATTTATATGATTTGTAGTACTGAAATTTAGGTAAACATTAAAGTATGTTACAATTAATAATAGAAGTTTACATTTACGCAAAATATGGTACAATACTACGAATTCATGAAATATGTATCAAGTAGAATGTAACTTTAATAAATAGAGCGCATAATATTATAAATATTTAAAGAAGAGTCGTAAGTACTTTTGTTAAACGAAGTAAAGCCACATTGTTGCAATGTGCCATGCGTTCAGTTTCATTCTACTTAGGCTACAAACGTTGGAATAGAACACTACACATGTAAAAATAATATGTAAACATGTTCATAAAAATTATTGTACCTATATTGGTGAAAAGTACATCAAGGCTATTATAATATGAAGTAATTTTTGGAAAACTCTAAATTAACATACCTTCAACTACGCCACTCACATCCGAAAAGGAATCGGAACCTTTGGTTATACGTAGACATAATGGAAACTCGAAACATAAGTTAGCGTCATCTGGTGTTAAAGAAATTGCAAACAATTTACCCCAGACCAGAGAGGAAATGGCTGCGTTCAGCGGACTCCATGGACACTGTTAGGATCTCTGACTATTGTTGCATTCAGATTTGGGGAAAATATAAATCAAAGAGCTGGGTTAGTGCCCGTGGAGCGATAATCCGCTCTGCTCGTTATTATTTCCAATTTGTAAAGGAGAACTTCTTCTTTTAACTTCAACTTATTATGTTTATTAATACAAATTTAAACGATAACAAATAACTCGACTTAAACGAAATATAATTTCGTTTCATACAGAAATTTGTTTTTATAGATGATGGTTTTCTATTTTTATTAACAAATTTTATGAATAAGATCTTTCATAACTAATGTGATTGGATAATTTTATCAGTTAAACGAGCGTTTCATCTATTCTATGAACAATTCCATAACAACTAACTAATAAACATTATATTTTGAGATTTAATCAATTAATTTTCAGAGTTGAATTTAGCGCCTTAAAAAAACATACAGTATACATAATATAGATGGCATTCTAAATGAAATGAACCATAGATATATACAGGGTGTCCCAAAAATGTCCTCCGACCCGGAAATGTGGCACTCGGGGGGTAAATTGGAACAACTTTTTCCTTAGCAAAAATTTAAACTGAGGCTTCGTTCACGAGATATTAACGAAAAACCGCGACCAATCAGAGCGCGAGTTTGCCAGCAGAGTTCCCGCGCTAGCGGTGGCTACGCGCTACGCTTGTACTACGTTGCTCCGAACAAGTAGGTTACCATGCATCGCAGGAAACCGCGTATAATAATAGCAAATAAACAAGACGTAACAAATAAAATCATACTTTTTATCATCTGTCTTTTGTTATTTAACGAGATTAGTGAATGAAACGTAAATGTAGGCAAATTATGTTTAACGTAAAAAGACGAATGCACATTTACATTTTTGTAAATTCCTTTTTACGAATTTGTAAATTTCCTTTTCAAATAACGTGTGAACGAAAAGGTAATGTAACAAAGAATAAACGAGAAGTGATTGTAGTTCGGTGAAATTAATAAAACAATAATGACCAATAAACTGAATAGAACTCACCCTTACGGAAATTCACCTGCAGCGTAGAAACCTGCGTCAGTAGGTCAGTGTACCGATCCTGGTCATCGACGGCCCAAACGGTTTATGGCAGGGTATGGCCCAGTTCGCAGGTGATCGCAGGTATACCTCACCAGCCGAAGTTAAGGGTTGTAACGTCAAGTGCGTCCTGGTTATTCCACAGAATACGTACTCGCTTCACTGCACGACCACTAACACTGATCACCCGACACAATCACTTAATGTATTTTTAATCCAACGTGTTGTTACTACGTTAGGAAAATTCGTGGCCTCGGAAAGGGCCGATTGTTTTCAATTTTTCAGATGTTTTACGTAACCAAACACTTGCACAGCAACACCCGCATATCCGTTATTGTGTACGTACCACCATAACATTGCGTAATACTCCCGTGAACTGAACATCTCTGTCGCCCGATTGCTAACCGACTGACAGAATTTTTCCTCTACCCCCAAGTAGTTTCCCATCGTTACATTGTGAGTTCACTCCCACCATGACAAGATTTAGGTAGAAAGAAACCAACGGTTCTAGGATAACACGTGCTTTGCAGAAGTGGAAGGAAAGGACCGTCGCGCAGTTTCTCCAAGGCGCCGTAGCCCGTTAATTTATTGCCAGGGTACCTACTCCTTCGAGATAGAAAACAGACATCACGTGCATCGGCTTAAAAATGTCCGAAATGAAGAGGACCATCAACGTATCCCTTGCTTCGAGTTGGAAAGTACAGTGTACATTGTCTATCTCGAGGAGCAGGGAAAAAAATTTACCGACACGTGTCAGTTGACGCTGCAAGGCCCTGGACGACCACCCTTGTAGAGGCCGGAGTGGAATTTTCGGTTATTTATGGCTTAAAATCTTCGGCCTCGTAGCAATCGTGAACTCACAACAGAATTGACAATCGACAATTTTATTACAACTTTGTGAAATTGTAGTTCTCATGAAAACATTTCATACGTATTTTTTTTTTTAGTATTCCGTCAAATATCTCGGAAATTATTAGAAATATAAAAACCGTATTCGTTAAATTCTTTTCCGTAAAATAAGCCTATCGGTAGGGTGATGCGGTTCATATTAACGTAATAGTAACCCATTGAAGACAGCGGTGCGCCCCGGTTCAGGTAAAAGAATCGGGCGCTCCACTATTACAGTCGACTGATGGTATCGCTAACGCTCCAGACTATTTCAATAGATTAAAAGCTATATCAAAGTATCAATGATTTACGGAAAAGAGTTCAACGAAAGATTGTTTAAAGAAAGGGATTATTCTGGAATTCAATGATATAGCTACATTCAATATCAAAACAAACACAATATTGCAAATTGTACGGTTTTTATATTTCTAATAAATTCCGAGATATTTGACGGAATACTAAAAAAAAAAAAGGCCGAAGAAGTTGAGCCATAAAGAACCGAAAATTCCACTCCGGCCTCTACAAGGGTGGTCGGCCAGGGCCTTTTCATTTCGGACATTTTCAAGCCGATGCACGTGACGTCTGTTTTCTATCTCGAAGCAGTGGGTACCCTGGCAATAAATTAACGGGCTACGGCGCCTTGGAGAAACTGCGCGACGGTTCTTCCCTTGCACTTCTGCAAAGCACGTGTTATCCTAGAACCGTTGGTTTCGTTTTACCTAAATCTTGTCGTGGTGAGAGTGAACTCACAATGTAACGATGGGAAACTACTTGGGGGTAGAGGAAGCCCTTTCGGAAAAATTCTGTCAGTCGGTTAGCAATCGGGCGACAGAGATGTTCAGTTCACGGGAGTATTACGGAATCTTATGGTGGTACGTACACAATAACGGATATGCGGGTGTTGGTGTGCAAGTGTTTGGTTACGTAAAACATCTGAAAAATTGAAACCAATCGGCCCTTTCCGGGGATACGAATTTTCCTAACGTAGTAACAACACGTTGGATTAAAAATACATTAAGTGATTGTGTCGGGTGATCAGTGTTAGTGCAGTGCAGTGAAGTGAATACATATTCGATGGATTAACCCGGCGGCACTTGACGTTGCAACTCTTAACGTCGGCTGGTGTCGCATACCTGCGATCACCAGTGGCATGGACTCTACCCTGCCATAAACCATTTCGTCCGTCGATGCCCAGGCTCGGTACACTGACCTACTGACGCAGGTTTCTACGCTGCAGGTGAATTTCCGTAAGGGTGAGTTCTATTCAGTTTATTGGTCATTATTGTTTTATTAATTTCACCGAACTACAATCACTTCTCGTTTATTCTTTGTTACATTACCTTTTCGTTCACACGTTATTTGAAAAGGAAATTTACAAATTCGTAAAAAGGAATTTACAAAAATGTAAATGTGCATTCGTCTTTTTACGTTACACATAATTTGCCTACATTTACGTTTCATTCATTAATCTCTTTAAATAACAAACGACAGATGATAAAAAGTATGATTTTATTTGTTACGTCTTGTTTATTTGCTATTATTATACGCGGTTTCCTGCGATGCATGGTGACCTACTTGTTCGGAGCTTCGTAGTACAAGCGTAGCGCGTAGCCACCGCTAGCGCGGGAACTCGGCTGGCAAACTCGCGCTCTGATTGGTCGCGGTTTTTCGTTAATATCTCGTAAACGAAGCCTCAGTTTAAATTTTGGCTAAGGAAAAAGTTGTTCCAATTCACCCCCCGAGTGCCACATTTCCGGGTCGGAGGACATTTTTGGGACACCCTGTATAGACGGAGCCATAGCCGACTCTAATACTAGCCGTGCTGAACAACGTGGCAACACCGCTGATGGCGGATTCGGGAGTTCTATTTTCAAGAATAGAGTTTTGTGATCAGTGTTATAATTAACGTTATTTTGTACATAAAACTATACTAATACAGTAATTTTGATTAATTATGCATAAGGAATACATAAATATCATAACTATAGTAAGTAGAAGTAATATAGATGTATACTAAATTTATAAATGTGGTATATATTTTGTGGACACTCTGAATAGTTTGGTGTTATGATGCATCGAAATATTTACAGTGGTTTCAAAAAAATATAAGTGTGAAGCATGATAAAACCATCTTTGAAACAAATTGAAGCATTTAAAAATTGATAAAGGTATGTATAAGTTAATAGAAACCTGAAATAGACAAAATAATTTATACGATGCCAAAAAGGTTAAGGGACATGTGGAGAAGAGGTTAGGATAATTCGCTATTGAAAGGAACAATTATGCAGTTAATTATGAACTCGTGTTAGAGAACAGTTTATTATTTACAGTTTTCACATAATCATTTAATAAAATATTCGAAAATATTGACAATAATTTTAACAAAATACTGTGGTAACTTTGACCACAAATGCATGTATCTGAAAATTCTAAATAATGTATATCTGATTGAATACTAATATATGTTAAGTTACATAAAATATGTTTATGATTTTTGGATTGCAACAATTGAGATTTTAAATTGCCGTCATTTATTATGGCTTCCATTATTGCATACATATGAATAAATAAGGTTATCACTTCTTCAGTGGGAACAGAAAAGCCCCCTCTTTGTAAGTGATCAAAATATATATTGCCTGCAGTTTTACCTTTATCCTCCACAATTAATAATCAACAATCAGAGTAGTAGGACGTAGTTGCGTCTCCCTACCGACCGAGCGTCTGACCGACCCGGCCACATGGGCCGCCTTGTTCTCCGGTAGTCCCCTCGCGATACAAGAGATACACCGCGACTGCTCGTTGCAGGTGGCTGCTGAGTGCCCTTTTGCGGCGCATCTCCTGCACACTATCGTGTCCTCCTTCGACTTGCAATTGGCGGCCATGTTTTTTCATTTTACCTTCTGGGCCTGTAGCGCTTTGTCCGCGTCGGCCGGAGCGAGGTCGATCCAGGCGGTCTGGGTCCCATTAGAGAAAGGCCTTAACACTTTCACAACCGGTGACACCAACGTGGTGCCATTAAGGAGGCTACCTTTACCATGTCGGTTTGGGGAATCTCCAACACCTTTCTTAACACTTTATCGACCGGTTGTGGTTGAGGCTTAGTCGCGCGCGCATTTGCTCCCAGTACCAGCTAAATTTTCGCTATTCATTGTGTTGTGCTTATTGTTTTTGTTTCAAAGGAATGTAATTTTATTGATATTTATACTTTATTTTGCATTTATTTTATATAATAAAGGGCCTTATAAACTAATATACATAGAATATATTCAAGGTAATAGTAATTCAATTTTTAATAATTCTTTAGAGTGTGATGTTAGAAGTTTATGCTTCTTTATGCATGATAATCTTTCTGGAGGATCTGATCTTGGTGCTCTTCTCGTAGGCTCTGAAGTATTTGATTTGTTAGTTGAGTCTGCTGTGTCGTCACTTTCAGAATCTGTTGATGATAAATCGGATATCCCACTGGACGAAACCCGTCGATAGCTAAAAGCCGATTAATAGGCTATCGGTCGATAAGCGTTGGCAGTCGAAAAGCCGATTAATAGGCTAGCGGTCGATAAGCATTGGCAATCGAAAAGCCGATTAATAGGCTAGCGATCGATAAAGTGATCATTCGATAATTGTGCCTCGATTTCGGGGGCCTCGATAATGGAGTCAAGGCCGACCAGCTGGACCCTTGCTGTCGGGGCTAGAGTGCGGGTGGTCACTGCGTTCCCCAGCGAGGCGGCTAACTTCTTCTTAAAGGGGCTGCTTGCTTCCCTTTTCCCAATTCTATTAGGAGTGCTCCTGAACGGATCTTCCTGATATTTTGGACCATGTCCATATCGCTTCCCATTTTCTCCGTTAACAGTCGGAATATATCCACGTACGATTTGCCCAGTGTTCCTATAATGATCACCTCGCTTCGCTGTTGTCGAGAACGAGGGGCGCAACTAGGAGTCGCTGGCTTCGGTGAAGGGCCCTAGACGTTGTGGCCGGTAGGGCGGGAAACCGTCAGGGCGTTGGTGGCCTCACGCTTCTTCATGACCATTTCCCATTCCATTTTCTCCTTCTCCCCCTGGATCCTCGTGATATCGAGGCCGCTTGGGCGTAACAGGGGGGAAGATGGACATTCTGAGAGTTGGATTCGGGGCGCGGACTTCTTTGGGGGAGCTCACTTCGGTCTCCTCGTTGCCCTGTACTGGGACCGGGGAGGTGGTTTCCGCTGGGGCCCTCTACCTGTTCTTAGTCAAGAGGGGTTTTCTTTGCCGTTTTCCCGACTCCGTTTGCGTGCCGACGGTGGTAGACACCACAGTGGATCTCGGTGAATGGGGGTTGGAGACCTCGTCCGTTTGCATGCACGTCTCGATCGAGGACACGGTGGAATCCACTGTTGTGGAATCCTTTGCTTCGCCATCCGTCTGTGTTGACGCCCCCGCGAAGGTTATAGCGTGTGCGGGTGTTGTTGGCCCTAGATCGACGTCGGGGCGATGAAACCCACTGTCCCTGTCTTGGTTGACAAGATGTAGGTCGTTCAATGCGCGCACTACAGCAGCCACGGTGGCTGAGCCACCGCCAGTTTCACGTCGGGTAGGGTCTCCGAGGTCCGCGTCAGCTGTCGGAGGATCTTTGTTTTCTCGACGAGTTGCTTCACCGCCGTGTCGATACAATCTCTCGCCGGTCCCACTGGGTCCGGTTGGGACTCAGTCCTTTTTCTCTTCCCGATTTGTGTCGGGGAGAAATTATCGCATTCCGACAACTCAACGAAGTCTGATATGGATCCTGTCGAAATGTCGGAAGTGGAATGCGACCTCTGGTGACCCTTCTTAGGGTGCGTCGGAGTGTCGCGCTCGGTCGGAATAGATCAGGAGCCTTAAAGTCTTATCCGTGAAGATCCATCCGTCCGAGTTATGCTCTTTGTCAGAAGCATCTCCGCTCCCAGAGGCCTGGTATGCCACCTCTAGGGCAGGGCGGTTACACGATGACCACGGGGGAGGGGGGGGGCGCTTGTTCACTCCTCTGCCCGGCGGGTGCTGGGGGATCCGACGCTCCCTGCACCGTAAACGTTTTGCTATTTGCCTTGTCCATTTCATGATAGCCGTGTGGTTTGTGGATGGGCGGGGGGGGGGCATGTCCCCGGCTCAGCTGCAGGCCTTATCGACAGGGGTGGCCCTGCCAGGAGTCGAAACTTCGACTGGTATCGTCCTGCGCGTCCTTGCAGGAGTTGCAGGTACTGGGCTCGCCGGACGCCACCCGAGGTTTTGATCGTCGTTCGGGACCGCGATGGGATCAAAGGATAGGAACTACTAGGGATAGGAGCGGGAGGGGGCAGGGAGTGACAAGAAAGGAGGGGTAAGGGGTCTATGTCGGGGTACGACCATTCATCCCGTCGGCACAACGACCACCACCTTGGGATTCCCCGACAAGGGGACTCCGGTACCTTGGGTTCGTCATTCCCATATAACGACAAAGGTCAAGACGCCTAAGGTAAACTGGTACAGTGTCCTATGAAGTCTTCTACGTCTCGTTGCATTTTTGGCCAATCGAATAAACTTCGAATATGTCGGTAGGCCTTCGTGACTCCTTTATATCCTCCTCTCAGACTTCCGTGATAATGTCGATTAATGCCTTTCCGTTCATCTTTTGGGGGTTCCTGGATTTTACCAGTACATATCGTGATTTTTATGGGCTGTTCTCAAAAGATTTCGGTTAAAAGTTTCTGGAGAATGTCGTGATCGAAGTGATGGAGAATTTCACCATGTGTAGCTATACGAATTGAAGTTGTCTTCTCAATTTTCATTGATTCTTTAAGAGCAGTGAGTGAATTTGACATTTCCAAAGTTCCTATTTCGTGGAAGAAATTTCTGGTTCCCACGATGCTAAAAACCTTTCCTTCGTTGTTAAGGGTTACGATTACGCGCCCTGGGTTTAGGTCTTCGGTGATTAATACGGTCTCCTCTAGGAGTCCGAGAGCCTTTAGAGTTTTACAATTTCCACTTGTTAGTATTCGATCCGCGGAAATAAAATGTGCGTAATTATCTGGTTCAGTCGTTAAGGTTTTTCTAGAAACTAAGACTTCGCATTGTTTCGGATTTTATTTCGAAGAAATATTCTGGTTCTGAGTTTGCGGATGATATGAACCTATAAGCGTATCGAATTTTAATTTTCTATTTTCGTTAACAGAATGAACGGTAGTACTTTGTTCATTCAATGTATTTCTGATCGTTATTCCAGATCCGTCTGGTTCAGCCAAGATCATGGCTGATTGTGGCATTTCAAATACATCCGTTGGAGGAGGTAAAAACCATGAAACGCGTTTTTTCGCGATTGGAGGTTGGTTTTTCGCGTTTCGGATCGAGTCTTCGTTATTTGGCAATTCTGCCTGATCCAGACTTCGAAGAAACGTGATTTCTTCTGTGGTGAATCGTGGTGGAAAGTTGTTGTTACTTGGAAGTTGTTTCACTGCGTTGAGATATAAATCGTTAAGATACGTTAATATTCAGCGTCAACTATTTTTCGGTCCGTGAGTAGCAATTCACGCCATCTCTAGCACATACATGGGCTTCGAAAATGCTCGTTTCACTTGTACAGTTGCTTCGTTCAATTTTCCTCGTATTAATAGATGACCCTTGGAAAACTCTTTACCACAGACGCATTATGCAAACGCAAAATAAATATACCATGAGTAAAAAATATAAAAACTCAGGACCAGTACAATTTTGTTCTATTTCGTCTAACGAGAAGTTATACGTAATCATCGATAATTAGGAAACAATATCAATGTACAAATTTATGGTCGTTACATTCATCGTTATCTAAATTATAACGGCAGCATAATGAAAGTGTATCGTTTCATTTAAAAAAATGTTTTTCACACTGATAACAGTAAAGAAAATTTATAGCGAGAACAATTTTTTTTGCAATGTTGTGTCTGCTCATCGTGTCGACTATATTCTGCAAAAATGTTTCTTTTATAATACTCACTCAATAAAGATATAAAAGTGGTCCTGTTTCTATTGGACCATTCTGTGTTACAGGGTAATGGGGTTGTAAATAAAAAAACGTATTGAATACCCTCCACAGTGTATTTGGGACCTAGATTGCATTGAAAATATTAGATATAACATCGATGTACGAGATACTTTTCAATACGTTACTTAAATATCTATGTAAGATACACATATTGTGTAAGTAGATGACATAATATTACCACTTTATAATATTCGACTCATTCACTAACAAACAACATGTAATATGGTTTTACTTTGTTTTTTCATTTTTCTTATTTTTTTTTATACACGTAGAATACCATAACGACATTGACCATATATATAATATATATCTGCATTTTATCATGGTGTTACAGAATATAATAACGCGTGCGTAGTTCGAATGTCGTGAAAATTGCTCACGATCAAAATAAAATGTTCGATCAATTTCGCCCGATAAGCTCGAGTACACAGCGTGCTGACCACCATTCTTCCAGAAATTACGTAGATTTTCTGAGATTCGTCGCGTGATGTCTTTCTTTCATCTTAGAACAAGCTTGGAACAAACGACGCTATGATGAAACATATAAGTTACGCATTCTATGCCGCGTTCCATAATTCTAGGGAAAAAAAATTTAGCACCGAGGATGAAGGGAAAAACAAGTTGAGGAGTAGCATATAAGGACACAACAGAAAGTGTTGAAGCAGAAAGAAAATCGTTCATAACCCAACTCCATCTTTAAACCCTAAACAGCGACGAGGATTAATTAGGTCAACAACGCCGTCTATCGATGTACCATGATCCTGAGTATACGACTTTATATCGTGCCAAAACTCTGTACATTTAATCTTGGGAGACGTTAAAATTCATATTATTTGAAATCATTAAAAAATTCGAATTAATGCAGCAAGTTAAAATTCGATTGATTCCATTCCATGTATTTATGTACCACGTGAAACATAAAAAGGACTCGAAGATTTTATGTTTTGTTTTTCAAGTAATATTAAATTATCTTTGCTCGTTCTCAATCTTCTTGGTGTAAGTGGTAATGTTTCACGCCGATAGTAGGAATCGATGTTGATAATTGTTCGGCAAACGATCTAAAGTCTAATACAAATCCTTATTGATGTTCTACGGATTATTTTTAGTACGCGTGGTTTGCGACGAAAAGCGCAGTGTTACCAGCTGCTCCTGTCACACCACCGCCATATTTTCCTAGTGCCGATTCGCTGTTGGCCTATAAAAAATAAGATCTGCGTTAGAATCACTTCAGATATCATTGTATTGTACACTATGATATAATAGGAATATATTTATCAATAGTACACCATAAGAATAACGATTAACACTTTGATTGGTTATCGTACAAACAGGTAACTGAGTTTTCTATATCAGGATTAATTTTATTATATCCACGTTGTAACTGACGTAAACTACTGAAGAACAATCATACATAATTATGAAATCAAGAAACTCAAAATCTAAAAGACACAAAACACGGAACATTTGCCTTAAATTAAAAACTGAATTAGTGTATCTGAAGGTAAAGGTTGTGGTACCTACATTTACTGTAATGACAAAATTCAAAGAGTTAAGTTAGTTTCAGTACTGTGAAAATGAATTATTATAAAAATACATTTAGAAACTGTGGCTTTGTAACAATAATTATAAAAATATTTGATAGAAAGAATAAACTAATCTACAAACGTTTGATTTAGATATAGCAATTCTAATAAGTAAAACTACACGTCATCGTTCTTTCATTAGTACAATTTGTTTTGTAATCTTACTGGACAGACTTGTTTAATCGGTTAAATTTTACTTTGCCGGGCCAAAAATGATTGACTTTTATATATCTCCTGGTAGTATTCAACAACTGGAATCTGAAAATGCAAGTTTTAAGTTTAGGAATCTACCGGTTCAAAAGTTATGCGTATGTAAAACCAAGTATTTTCAGCGTACTTTACAGGTTAGTTTAACGCCATATTGGTTTCAATCTTAAATTCGTCCAATCAGTGATGTGACTGCTTGTAAGGAGATGCACGTAGGTCACGGTCATTTTGGTGGGATAATTCAAATGTGCATGCAAAAAAACCGCGTGTTCAAAGCAAAATATTGATTTAGTATTTGCTTTGAATAAGTGATTTTTTTGGAAGCACATTTGAATTATCCGGCCAAAATGGCCGCCACCACGCACGTACATCTCCTTACAAGTACTGACACCACTAATTGGACGAATTTGGATAGAAACCAATATGGCGTAAAACTGTAATCTGTAAAATACGTTAAAAATACTTGGTTTTACATACGCATTTTGAACCGGTGGTTTCCTAAACTTAAAACTTGCATTTTAAGATTCCACTCGTTGAATACTACCAGGAGGTATAAAAAAAAGTCAACAATTTTTGGCCCGGCAAAGTAAAGTCCAACTGTCTAATCTTTTGTACTCTTACATTTCCATAATGTTTACCTGGGTCTTGTGGCGATCACGCTCAAAAACAACTTGATAGTCAAAGTGTTAATACGTATTTGTTATTCTTAAGATTTAGATAATATATAAAAGTAAGAAACAAATACAAAAGTACTTATTTAGTTTAGGATACTTACTTATGAAAACATGTCTCACAGAAAGGAAAAAATATTTTAGTAGGCATGAGATGTTACATAGAGAGATGTGTTAGCAGCTACGCTAGAGATACTTCCAGCAACGTATTTGCCTTGAGAAGCTGCAGTATTTGCCTAAACAAGCACATAGTATATGCACATGCAACAGAACATATGTGAAAAGAAAGTGATAAACATTAATTAAAACTAGGTAATTCAGAACTTAAATATGAAGTTATCAAACAATTGTTTAACGGTATGAACAATAAAATTGTACTGAAGTAGAAAAAGCACATATTATAAATGTGAACAGCAAAAAGATAAGAATTTTTAAAACACAGAAGTATATAAAGAGCAATAAACCAAAATATGCTTTTAATAAAGGAGAATAGTAATGGAAAACAGTAAAGAGAAGAGCAGTGACAGTAAAAAAGACCAGAATTTGAAAAAGGATACAAAATGTTTTTTTTACACACATAAGAAATTAGATGTTAAAGTGAATAAAAAAAACTTCATTGCGTAAGATTAACATAGAATACCTACTCTACTGAAAATGAAGGGTCACATACAAAAAGGTGCTATAGAATATATAAGATAGGGAGACAAACATGAAACAGAAAATAAGATTTAAAAACTGAATTTCGTCTTCAGTTAAGTTACCTTGGCTCTCTTGATAAGTTCGTCCTGGCCAGCGACAACCTGTTCCTTTTTACCTGCCCATGCGCGGAGAACGGAGGCCTGAAGTGCACGACCATAGCTGAAGGTCAAAGCCCAAGGTTTTGGGAGTGGATACTTGTTGATAGCGTCTAAGTTCACAGACGCCTCCTCTTCGGACTGTCCACCACTGAGGAAAGTGATACCAGGGACTGCAGGTGGTACAGTACGCAATAGAGCGGTCACTGTAGCACCAGCAATCTCCTGAGGAGTTGCTTTAGTTGGACAACTTTGACCAGGTGTTACCATGTTCGGCTTCAGGAGGGTTCCCTCAAGATAGACATGATGGTCAGCAAGTGCCTGAAAAAAGCATAATACGATAGAATTCAAACGAACATTTTCACAGCATTGTGGAATAAAAGACAGACTGAATACTTATACCACCTAATTTAGCAATTGACTTTTTACAAAAAAGGAAAATTGATGCTCTGTAAACATTGGAAAAATATAAGAAATCTAACAGTATACTCTATACAGTCTGATAGATCGAACTTGGGGCCTATAGAGGCAGTAGTATAATTAGATCAAAAAAGGAAAAACCATACGAAGACTCTACTTGTCGACAGTTAAAACAGCATTCAAATTAGTGAAGTTTGCATGGGACACTAATTTCACGTTACCTGATTCATTGGGGATTATAAAATAAGTATATATGTAAAATTACGAATTGGAACATCTATACATCATTCCTCGCTCTTATATCTCTGACTGAAAACGACACGAATCTATCGTTCATTTTCATCATCATTGGTATGTTAAGATTTATTTGTATCTTTTATTTATTTGACTGTTACAATATATCTTTGTTGTTATCATAAAGGAGAGTGATTTCCTATCCCTCTCGTTTCCTATTCTTAATTGCGTACTTCACGGGTAGGTTTAGACAGGGCGTGCTTTAGCACCTTAAAAGAGCCAGAACCCGAAATTATAAATAAAGTAACGACCGCAACGCAGGACGTAACACTATGATGGAGTCCGTTTCATGGATAAAATAAAATAGTCGATAAAAGTGAGGAAAAGTAGGAATGATGCTGAAGAAGCATTTCTATACCTGTATACAGGGTGAATCAATAAGAAGTATTATCTAAAATAACTCGTTACCTATTGTTCGTATTGAAAAACGTTTCAAATACATTCAAATATTGCGATTAAAGGGACTGATTGAATCGATGCAATTTGATTTTTTCATATCTTATTTTTTCTGAGATGTCAAGGTAATTTTTAGTTTTTTTAAGATCAATGGATTTGTTCCCCCTAGACCTTATTATAGGTCGTTGGATTCCACTTTTTATTGGTTAGAACGTAACATCAACACAAAAATTCATTGACCTTGACAAAACTCAAGGTTACCTTGATATATCAGAAAATGTATAAAAATTCAAATTACATCCACCTGATGAGTCTTTTCAAATGCAACGTAATTCGTTTAAAACATTTTCTGATACAACCTTTAGGTAACGAGTTATTGTAGATAGTTGTTCGTATTGACTCATCCTGTATGTACGAAGCCACAAATAATCCCCCTCACCTTGTAGACAGCGGAGAGAACTTCCTCCGTGACTTGTTGGCATCTGGCAAGATCGTGATCACCGTCAGGCAGGATTTCAGGCTCGACAATAGGTACAATTCTGGCGCTCTGACAGATGGAAGCGTAACGAGCCAGAACGTTGGCGTTCTCCAGAATGGCCAGCTTGCTTGGCGTGTCTTTCTTGATCTTCAACACGCATCTCCACTTGGCGAAGTGGCAGCCGTCCTTCTTGTACTGGATGCAACGAGCCTGAAGGTCATCGAGACCTTGAGTTGTGCACTCATCGTTGGTACCGAAGAGGGGCACAACACCCTTGTCGACTTTGATGCCCGGCAGAATGTTGCGTTCCTTCAGAAGATCAACGAATGGTGTACCGTTGTCAGCCTTCTGGTACAGAGTCTCGTGGAACAGGATAACGCCGGAGATATGTTGACTGATGACATCCTTTCAAAAAGAAAATCAATTATTACGGGGAAAGAATTGATTGAAAGAACTTACGATTAAATGTAGGTTCGGTTAGAAATATTTTTGTTTAATTGAACAATGAAAATTACGTAATTCTTAATATTGCATGTATTCAGTACAATCATTGTCAAAACGAGTGTGATTAGATTCTCAGGAAAGAATGCTTTGTAAATCATTGAAGAAGACCTCTAAAGGGCGTCTCTTAATTCTCCGATCTTTTTGAAGTAGTGGTTTGTGAACAATATGATGTCATGACATCGTCAGACGGTAGGTGGTTATAAATATTAATTACTACACTAAATAATCGAAATGATGAATATTTTCACATAAAACAACGTGAAATATTTTTATGTTCAGCTGGTGTAGCAACAATCGTCTTCAAGGAGACACGAGGCAACGTAATTGTAGATGTTCAAACGGAAGAATTTAATATTTGGGTCATTCCACGACAAGCGGATCACTTTTGTACACAATGTCTGGGATTTTGCTCAAATTGAAATATGTTATACTTTATTTGAAAGTAGGGTGGATTTAAGTCATCATTTTGCTGGTTTCGGAATTGTTTAAAAATTACAGATCTTCAAAGTTGACAACTTTCATAGATTTTTACGAAAACTACCATCCCAAAAGAATTTTTATCTCAGTAACTATTAAAGATAAAAACTTCATTCTTCTTCCGTTTTGACCGTAAAAGATCGTTCTTTGTAATGAATGTTTTGTTTTCTACGTAAAGTTATTTTTCTAAAAATAGAAGAACTAAAAAACATATAAAAAATATTTTTGTTTTGCAAATTTTACCCCTAGGTCACTAAAAACTTGAAAAATATGCCCGTATACTCTGATCTTTCCGCTTTAACATCCATTTTTTTGATGAAGCGAGTACTCTAAAATTGAAGTCGCATCAGGCGTCGAAATAAGCTCACAATTGAAAAAAAAACGGAAAAATCGAACTTACAACAGCAAATTAAGGAAGTCAAAGGAATACAGCAGGAAATCAAAGAAAAACTATTTTCGTAATTACATTCTTTATTGTATGACCTACGGTCAATAGGTTCGGTTCACGCAATTCTTTTTGATTCAGCCTTTTTGACGAAGAAAAATACCATAGTTCGGTAAATTTTTTTCAAACATGCACCAATTATCGAATTTTCAATAGTTTGCTTTTATCATAGGTCATATCAGAGCCATTCACATATATTTAAAGAACAAATTTACATATTTAATTTCAGATGACCGTATCTCCAGATTTTACGTACCTACACAACTTCGACCTTTGTTTTTTAAAACATCACTCTGCCTTGCGGTTTATTGAAGGCCGCGTGGACAAAAACACCACGAACAAATTTTTTTTATTATTTTAAAATGTGCACTAATAAATACCAGCAAGAATTTTTACACTAAGTTTTCTTTTTTTTAATCAAGAAGAATGCGGTTTTTTCGCGCGGCTACACAAAAATGTACCCTCAAGAAATGACGGCTACCTACATGCAGCTAAGAATTTGATCCTTTTATTGTACGTACAACAAATTAATGATTACACAACAAGAGATGTTAAAGGAGAAAAGAAAATACTTTGATCTGTACCTTTGCTGTGGTGAAGAGGAGTTGTCTGTACGCTTTACGATTTTCTTCGTTATTTTCAACGTTGATATCCTTAAGACGTTTGCCGATCGTTGTCGTCGACTCGTCTGCAGCAAGGATTCCCTTTCCAGGCGCCACAATCTGCTGAGCGATGGTCCTCAGTTCTTCCTTTAGCTCAGGCTCAAGCTTATCGTACTTTTCTGCAGGCATTTTCTATCGAAACATGAAAATTTTAAGTAACGCATACAATCCACTAAAGAAAACATGAATCCGAGGAAATTTCCCGTAAATTGTACTTGAAAAGTGTCACAGTTCCTTATCAGAATATTAATTAAATTAAGGAATAAATAGTTATACGTATGATACGTTATGAGGAACCCATGCCACTACTCTTTATGAAAGATGTTTAGTTCGGGAAGTAATTAGTGGAAGAAGTTGTAACTTCTTGAATGTTATATTAACCATCAACTACGGACGACTTGTCACAGAAACAAATTTGAATTTTTCTTTCACTAACCCAACTTAACGGAGCAGTTTAGAAGCTTAGCGTTTGAATACCTTCAATTGACAGCAAGTGGCGCACTATTTCGAAAACAGTAACAAAAAATAACATATTCAATTGGTTATTAGAAGTGTTACAAAGTAGTTTTTGTCTCATTCTTTATCCATGGGACGAGCGACTACGCCTGTAGTTACCGGTTAAAATAATAATTCGTTGATTCGTAACTATTAAACCGAACTAAAGTTAAGTCAGTCTACCTCTGAGAAAATAAAATTCTTATATTTACAATATTAATGCATATTATTAAAATTCGTTTAGATAGTTCCTTTAATTTTCTATATGTTATTCATTAAATACACGTAATGGGACGATGAAACTGCGAATGCATATCTCAGTCGAAATTTTCGTAACTTATAAAATAAGCCTTTGGAAGTATCGAAGGATATCGTGCACATGAAATGGCAAATGTCCATCAAGTCTTCCGCAATGTAATTGAATTTCACAGTTAAGTCTCCCATCAACGTCAATATTTCATAACAAGAAAATGTTAGTTTGACCCATTTCTCTGCTTTTGATCGCCCTGTCACTTTGACACCAGACTATATAGGCCGCCATACACGTTATTAATACCACAGACCAGATATGTATAAGAATAGACCTAACATCTTATGGAACTTGGTGTCCCATGAAAATCACGCTGGTTCGATGAGCACACTCCACATAATTGTTTCCGACTTCAGGAACTATGTTCGACACCATGATGACGTACAGCACACAACACAGACACTCGTGACTACGTATAGCGATTAGAAATGGCGTGAACTTCTACTTGTGAAACACGAGTGATTCGATCACGTTCGTTCCCAGTTTCCAATCGCGGTGATTTTTCACAGTGATTCGTGATTTTTAGTGATCGTTTCTGATTGGTGGAGAAACATAACAGTTCTTTACACGCGATACATAGCCTGTATATTTTATATTAACGACATCGAAACAACAATTCGAGTTATATCGTATAAAGTGAACGAATAATTAGAAACAATGAAGAATAATGAATAAATTAATGATTATACATTATAATCTACATGTTACCTAGCAAATCGTTCTTTTAGAATTTCTTGTTTTTTCTACTGATTTTTAAGACATAAATAGTAATGTGTAATTCATCGTAAAATCATATTGAATACGTTTTTCTGTTTAAAGATCAAAGACTTACAATCGCAGTGAGCTAATTCACTCAAGATAAAAAAATCGCAATCACGGTCGTGAATGAAGTTAAATCACGACCGTGATCGTGATTCGGCGATCACTGTGATAAATCACCGTTAATGATTGTGCACGCCATCTCTAATAGCGACACATACATACATTATTCGCTAGCAAGGAATGGAATACTGAAATAGTACGGGGGCTTCTGACATCCCCACAGCATGGTACAAAAAATTACATTTATTCTTATATCTCGTCTGCGTTAATACGATGCAATAGATGCTAATTTATTGCGAAGTAACAAGTCGGAGTATTGTTGTATAATCTGGTCACCCTATCACAAGTTCCACATCACTTCTTTAGAGTGTCCAGCATAAATTTGTGCGTTTACTAGCTTATCGTGCTGGTAATTCTCTCCCAATGAAGTGCCACAACTATGATGACATCTAGTTTCAGTTTAATTTAACAATTTTGGTAAACAGATGAAAACTGCCGGACATTCTTTTCGTGAATGGGTTGTTCTTTAGCTCGTGAATGGTTCGGAGATTGTTGAATTACTAAATTTTGATGTACCATCTCGAAGTACTCGTTATCACAGCCTATTTTATGTGAAATCTCACCATACTCGATATGGTCAATTTGGTTGTTTCGACCATGCTTTAAGGTTGGCCAACGATTTTTGTAACTCTGTCAACATGTTTAGTGACTCTCCACCAGCATTACAGAATTCGTGTCTTTGCATTATCAATAATTAATATTACTGTATCGTTTATTTTCATTTTTATGTACGTCCTCCTCTTGTTATGGTAACTTTGTACTAAAGGGTATTTATCCCGTTAATAAATAAATAAATCAATAAATAAATTACGCGGGTAAGGAGAATAAAACGGAAGCGAACGAAAACGTCCCTTTCTAAACGGTGTATCATGATAGTAACTCTTTAACGACATTTTCACGATTCGTAGACAAAGAAACAGGGCACGAAAGAAGGCCGGTCACGGAATCATCACGACCCGGTCAATATGCTGAAAAATGGAGAGAGTCGCAAACCTCACGGCCAGGGAAATTAAAATCGATAAAACCGTAGAGAACGATCTGCACGACGGCTAACCTTGCCTTTGTCGAGCATTTTCGTGTCGAATGAAAAGCCCGTTTCGACAGTGGCTATAAGCGTAACCATCGGCGCAATGTCGTTTTCGGCGTACAATAACGACAATAACAGGCTTCCCTCGTGTGTCACGTCGATGGTAATTGTGACAACAAGAACAACAATATGTTAAACTGATCAAGTGGCGGTAATGGGGCTGCAATTGTAATGGGCCAAAGATATGGCAAAGTTTGAATGGCGTATCTACAAAACAATAACTATGTCGAGTTTTGGAGCATGAACGTTTCAGAAGTGTTATAGTGCTGCATCGAACCGTTAACCGTTCAGAATGAACAAATAATTTTAACACCACAGTTTGATATTTTAAATATATAATCCGCATTTACTTGACATGCACCGTTAAAAGCGGGAAAAAGTGACATTCTATAATGGCTATAATGGCTTGGACACGAGCCCAATAGCCGCTATGTTTTTGCAAACTCCTACGAGATAGAAAGAAACATACGTTATTTCACTTGTACCTATATTATAAATCTATAAAGATTTAGAATATCTTTAAAACTAGAACAAGTATTATGGTATTATTCGAAGTATTTCAATACTATGAAAGATATTAATCTAAAATTGTTTTCGCCACAAAAATCTAAAAACATTGCAACAACATAAAAACATCTATTGCAGAAAATTGTCTAAAGGTTTATACTGCTTAGATTAAGAATGTTTAATAAGAAAGATAAAACTTATACACAGAAGGTTTATGACAGTAAATCAATGACTATGCATAATGCTTTTAAATAAATAAATAAATAAAACGTTATAAAAATTCTTTTTAATAAAGCAATTTATCCCAAGCAAACTAGAATACCTTTGATTACTATGATATCAAAATGATGTTAACAAGACATTAAAATGACGTGACTCCGAAGTTCATTTGTGTTACCTTGACATGATCATGATCTTAATATTTTCGTTTACTTTACGTTGCAGTAGAGAGTTTATTTATAATAGTAAATTAAGGTCAACAGGTATAAGATATTAATTATTGCACCAAGATAATAAAATTGTATTTTAGAACCGTAATTATAGATAACAAGAGTTGTTCTTCTTTCATTTTTCATTTTACTTATTTATTTTACTTTATGTACGTAGTTTTATTTAATTATTGTAAACAAATAATACAAGCGTAATAATTATATGAAAAATACATTGGTAAGTTAATAGTATGATTATATAAAATAAAGTTTTGTGAATATACATATCTTATCTTCATTACTATCCAATTTTGCATTTTACGATAAATAGATATTATAAAAAGTTAGAATTATACGGCAGAAGATCTTTTTTTCCAAGTTTCAAATATTTACTTTCTGAAAATTGTGTTACAATTAAGATTAGTAGAATCATTAGATTTAAAGATCAACGGGAATGGCAACGATATGGCGAACCAATCAAACGTGACTGTCTCGTGTCGAGACGGTCCAGACTCTTACGGCGTCTCTAGCTGTCAGTCACCTAGCGCATGCAACGAGACATGTCCGCGAATGGGTCTGAGACTTAGAAAAACAGATCGAACAATCGTGTATGTACCCCAACTATTGCTCTCTTACCTTTCCCAAGAACGATCCAGTGCATCCCTGTGACCGTAAACAAACTTCGGACCTTGCGACCACGTTTACGACACACGTATGTACAATGAATAATATAAATATAACGTCGATAATAAGAATAATAACGTGAGTAAACAGATTCGTTTGGTGTTGCTAAATTCCGCTAAATATCGGTCGTGAAACCAATTGCAAATTTACACATTACGGCGAATAACCAAGTTGTATGTCTTATAAACACCGACAATACCGATAACAGTGAGATTATAAAGAGATAAAGAACAAAAAAACAGAAGTAAACCGCCGACGATGATGCGACAGAAAACGTAGCTCGGCTGCCGTTGGTCTTTTTCGGGTCCAGCCGAAAGGACCCTGACAGCCTTTCGACTACATTTTTGCGACTCGTCGTACAGAAATCGGCGCCTGGGTGTGGGAGGCGGAGGATGGGGTGGTGGAAGGAAAGGTCGGAGAGGAAACGTGTTCCGTATGAGCACGAGATGACGACTGGCTTTATCCGTCCAGTTTGCCCCGTCCAAGAGGCGGCAGGGGTACCTGGCTGCAGTGCAGTGTCGAAACTGCAAAACAGGGGGTAGTTGCTTCACATGCACACACACCATCCACTCTACACAGACAGAGACACGCGTACAATCTCTCTCACTCGCTCTTCCCCTTCCTCTTTGCTTTCGCCGCTATCCTTCCTCTCCACACAGTCTCTTCTTTCCCCATGTATCACTGTATCTTTCCTTTACCCGCCTTCATTCGGAATATCTCCTTTCTCTTATCGCTCGCCGCCACTGATCCTCCCGCTACAATCGTTGTCTCTCATCTACTCCCGTGATTCTCTATCTCTCTCTTCTTACAATCTCAACTGCTCTCTCTTTCTACTTTTCGGTTTCTCTTTCACCCCAACGGCATATCCCTCCTCGTCTATCCCCTACCTAGATACCCCTGTTCCTCTCCCTCCCTCTTTCTATGTCACACCCACCACACCGTCTATATCCTTGTTCATCTCGTGGCTTTTCGCTCATACAGCACGGAACAAGGGACTGGGCTAGCCGCAATGCAGCACGCGCAGACGTTCTCGAGGCTACGCCTGTATTATACCCCTGCGCACCCTGAATCCGTGACCTGAGACATCGGCAGCAACGCCATCCAAGATATAGGGGGTGACCGGGGCTAGTTGTTACACGGGGTTGGTTTGTCGTATTTCGTATAATTTCGTTACTAAATGTCAGACAGATTCATTACAAGGAACAAAATGTACTGTCGTTTTCATAAATAACTGTTTTGGTACACGAATTGTCATTTTGTATTATTTTCTATTGACAATATTAAGAAATGTTTCAGATAAAAGTTGAATGGTGTCATCGGGGGGCACACTTTCTGATGGTACTTCTTTCTATATGGACGCGTAGAGTTATATGAAGATCAACATGGTTTTTCCTTTAATGGAACCGTATATTTTTTAATACACTATTTAATGCTACTCGTTATTCCCTACATAAAGGACTAAGTCACTTATGAGGAATTAGTGCATTATGAAGCATACGATTCCATTTAAAGAAAAAACAAAGCTGACCTTCATACGACCTCTACGTGTTCATGTGGAAAAAAAACACCGTTAGTGATTTTGCATGACATCTCTACCAATCATTGTCACCCAAATATTAAACTAAAAAACTTAACAAATCGTTGAAGTATGATCGATATTATTTCTTATGATCTGTATATTATCTAAAACATTATAAATATTACAATTATACCTAGTCTCTTTTCTTTAGTACCTTGTTTTCCGTTTCGCTGGTAAGTAAATCGTCATTTTTACTCTTCCAATCAACTAAAAATTTTTAACTATTTTACAAAAATTAATGGAAAAAGGAAATTAAGTGCTGCTCTTTCTATCGTACGAATTACAGTTTTAATTGCATGCAGAATTTTCTTTATGTGTAACTTTACAACGTTTATTTGTTATTTTAAGTAAAACAGTCTAGGATGACAGTAATTCAGTAGGAGGCAATACATGGGTCTTTTAGCCTATGCGTTGAAAAGAAAATAATATTGCTCATCTGGGCCTTGTTACTTGAATATTTTCGATACGGTACGAAAACGATAATTTTCACCGACTAATGTTCTACTTTCTTCTTCTTCGACATTAATTTCTAATGTTTTCGGTCGCCTCGTCAATAAGCTTTGACACAATATCGTCGTGTGTGACCCTTGTTGGCCGTTTATAGTCCCCTGAGCAACTTTTTATTACCACGCGATTTCGTCAAAATGATGCGAAACTGCATTTCGACGGATCGATCGCCGATTCAACGAACTTTGCGATCAAGCGATCGGTTCCATGGACCCTCCCCCCGCTGTGAAGTAATGATGGGCGGTATTTATCGACATTTGGCTATCGATATATCGCTATTTTTTATGACACAAACCAAGAGCCGTGCCGCTTAACAATTGCGCTATTAAAGCCGTGTCGGAGCGCGAATGTGTGTTGGAGTTGCCAGATAGGGCGATCTATCGCAATTTGGGCTACTTTTGTACTAAAATTTCGATGAAGTTCTGAAGAAATTGCAAGTAGAAAATTGGGCGATTTCGAATTTAGTATATCTCTATTTTTTAATATTTCAAAATCTAATTCTAATACTTTACAATACTTTCCTAAATTATATTACATGTGTTTTTATACGTATAATTCATTATATATATAAGTCTATTCTCTGAATGTATCATACCAAAAAAAATACTTCAATGTACTGTAATCTAGCGTTAACAACACCTCCGAGCTTTTTTTGACAACACTACTACGACTTTATCGACTTCACACAGCTGTATATGCGAAAATCTTACGAAAAATCTGCTAACACTAGTGTGTATGGTTCCTTGCGTCATCGACAACGAGAACCGGTCCATAGGCTTACACGCGCCGACACGACTTTTATAGCGCGGTTGTTTAGAGCGACACGGTCTTTGGTTGGCATAGCGAGAGAATCACCCTGTATGTTAACACTTCTTAATATTTTCGGTTCTTCGGCAAAGGTGAATTCATTCTCGTTTATAAAAAAAAAGACATAAATTGGTTTTAATAATTACAATACTTTCATATAAAAACGAATTAAAAATCGAATAAATTAGTCAAATATTCTTCAACAGTTTACAATTTGTATTTATACAATTTTATATAATACTAAATATTTCGACGTAAAACAAATATTTAGGACAAAAAATCTAAGCGTACATGGATCTACTTTTATTAGTTTATTGTACCTATAACAATACTTTCGTTTAAAAATTGTTTTAAAAAGTTTAAATTAATCAATTTGTACTTAGAATATACAACATACATTAAAATTTACAACCATAAACACGTAACTGTAACAGCTTCCTCCAATTTACTTTATCTTCGCTATGCTATATTCAACAATAGCAACTGACGTTCGAATCCTCAAGATATTTCCGCGAGAAGAGAACACATTTCAAGATACTAGTTGGGAACATTCTGAGAATAAGTACTTTAGATAGATGTCGCTGATACACTTTTAAACATTTTTATAGAGTGCTTTGTTAAAGCCAATCATAAAAACTATTTATTATTCTATCTTTTCTATCAATACAGAGATATTTCTAGTAAAACCAGAGACCAGAGGTGTCTATTCAAACCCGGAAGCTCGAGGCCAAAACCAGGGAGGTGGCAACACTGGTAACTACCCCTGCGGAGCAATTTATGTGTGTCTGTGAATATCTGTGAAACAGAGCAAGTATTAGACTCTGCCCTCAACCAAGTCGCTCTGCCTTCGTTTGTTCTTTCTAACAAAAGTGTGGCTGTTACGTGTCCACCACCACGTCGTTGCTCACGTTCTCGATATGTTCCGTGCGATACATTGTGGAAACATTGCCGATGAAAATTTACATCTACGTACCTGCAGTTTACTGTAATCTAACGGAAGCAGCTCGTGTAAACCGGACAGACGGTGGTAGTGTTGTTTTGCTAATTTAGCAGCTCTTTGGACTGTAGCGTATGGGATATTGATCTCTTTTGACAAACGCCTCAATGAGGTTGAGGGCTCTGCTACTAATCTTTCTCCAACTACGCGTACCGTATCCGGTGACATTTTTCTGCCACCAGCGTGAATGTTCAGAACACTTCCGGTAGTCTCAAATTTCTTTATTAAATTAGCAATGCACTGTTTCGAGGGGACTTCGTTGTACTTTCTCTCAAACAGTTGCAGACAGTCCACTATTGAGCGTGTTTGATAATAACACCTTACAATATACAAACGCTGTTCTACCGTATACATATTTAAAAAATAATAAACAACAATAACAAGAACACAAAGAATAATGAAAACACCAACAAGAAGAACAACACCAGAGAGGACAGCACGGTAAAACGTGATGCGCGATCCTCTCGCTGCAGGACTGAAAAGGCATCGGGGGGTAGCTAGCGGTTCTTGAACGCCCCGCTGAGCACCCTATGTGTGTGACAGAGAGACAGAGCGAGAACCGACAACAAAGCATGCAGCATGGCCTTTCCAGTACAGCACCGAGAGAATCGCACTGTATACGGTGTATTCAAAAGGTTACGGAACTGATGTTGCTGTGATCGTACTAGTGGCGCCATCTCTGTTAGGACGATGTAATTACTTGCAAGGATAGATCACAGCTGTAGGGTCGTCGATCGTAATCAAACTTTTTCTGGTAAATCATGGGCATAAACATATATGTACACTCATGAGCAAACTCGGGTTCCACTAGGGGAAAAAATAACGTAGGGAATAGGTCTCTTACCACTTGGTAAATTTATTCCAGGTAGTGAAATAAATGTTAAATCGAATGTTAATTTGGCATACATTTCAATAATTCGAAATACCAAGTGGTAGGAGGCCTTTCCCTTACATTACTTTTTCCTCTAGCGGAAGCCGAGTTTGTTCGTGAGGGTACATATACTAATTTTTATAAATGTGGTACTTATGTATATATTTTGTGGACACTCGGAATAGTTTGGTGTTGTGATGCATTATATTTGAAATATTTACTGTGGTTTCGAGAAAATATAGGTGTGAAGCATGATAAACCATCTTTGAACTAAATTGAAGCATTTAAAAATTGATAGAGATATGTATAAGTTAATAGCAACCTGAAAAAGACAAAATTATTTATACAAAGCCAAAAGGTTAAGTGATCGTGTAGAAAAGAGGTTAGACTACAAGTGCATGTATCTGAAAATATTAAATAATGTATA